TGGTTGTTGGTATCTCGTTTGTTTTGTGAGCAAACCGGCAAAATCATCGTCATCGTAGGGAAGCCCATTAGTTTTGGCATGCAGCCATTTGAAACATCGCATGCAACATCATGGCCATCATGACATTGACACTGAAACCATCGCAACGGAAAAGCAAACTAAAGCTAACGTATAAAGCACAAAAAATAAATTAAATAAAAGCTTGGTTTTTGGGCGAGTACAATGGGGGGAGATGGGCGGCTCATTAGCAAAAGTGCCAGCAGCATAATCGTAATTGGAAATCAAACTCGATTAGGTCAGCTGTATAAATGGTTAGAGGGGCGGGATACGAAACGCAATGAAGCGTGCCTCTATACATTTGCTGGATAGATTTTCAAGATCAATGTAGATCAGAAACCGGCAATTTTCTACTCAGTGCGATGGATGAATGACAGTTCGTTGTTATGGAGAAATCAACACAAATTCGATCTGGAACATGAGCCATTGAATACTTTGAACTAAAAATATAAAATATTATTTAAAATATTAATTTTAAGAATTTTATCCAAATAATCTAATCCATAAAAAAACAAGAGAGAACGCTATAGTCGGGTTTTTCCCCCCACAATAAAAACCCCCCCCCACAAAAAAGGGGGGGGAAAAAGGGGGGGGGGGGGGGGTCCCAAAAAAAAAAAAAAAAAAAAAAAAAAAAGGGGGGAGAAAAAAAAAAATAAATTTTTTTTAAATAAATAATTTTTTAAAAAAATTAAAAAAAATAAAAAAAATTTTAAATAAAAAAAAAAAAAAAAAAAAAAAAAAAAAAAAATAAAAAATTTTAAAAAAAAATAAAAAAAAAGGCAAAAAAAAAAAAAAAAAAAAAGTGGGGGGGGGGGGGGGGGGGGGGGGGGGGGGGAAAACAAAAAAAAAAAAAAAAAAAACAAAAGAAAAAAAAAAAAAAAAAATAAAAAAAAAAATAATTAAATTTTAAAAACACACCTAAAAAAAAAAAAAAAAAAAAAAAAAAAAAAAGAAAAAAAGAAAAAAAAAAAAAAAAAAAAAAAAAAAAAAAAAAAATATTACTTTTACAGGAAAATAATATACACAAAGATTCATAATAAAAAAATTATCACTATAATAAATTTCATACCTAAGAAAGCTAAATACAAAACTCTATAATTTTGTTTGCCATTAATATCCCTAATGGCCAATAAAAACCAATTTCTTTCAATATTCACACATTCCTATCAATGAACAGTTTTATAACCAACTCGAACGCCGAACTATGCCATAACCAATATGTGAGCAATTTATAAGGTCCAACATGCATACTATATCTATGTAAATATCCCCTCGTTTCGCTCGCACAAAGTGATCATAAATATTGGCCAGAGAAATTAATTGGATAAACGTTTTATGATATTGAATTATGATGGCCGGGGCGAATGGGAGCATCTCGCTACTTGGCCATTCGAAATATTCCCACACAATTCAAAGGGGGGCGAAATTTTATGAGTGCGTAAATTCCATTCGGATGGCCCGCAAGGGCTAAAAGGGCATAAAGGACATGGGGCAATCCTGGCGCAACGCCATGCACCAAGGTAATAAAATTCGATAGAAAATCGTGTAAAAAAATCATTACACACAGAAGAACCAGCAGCAGGACAAAGTCAGCTTGCCCACCCCATTGCCAATCTGGCACTAAAATCAAACGGGTCCAGGAAACACCGCAGGCGTCTGACCAATCTGCTGCACCTCCTCTCCCGATTCCTGATCCTTCCGCTCAGCTCCTCCGGGGATATAAAAAGCGGCAACGTGAGGCGACAAGGCCAAAGCTCCGAGGAGCCAGCCTCCTTTGGCCAACAATAAAATGCGAGAGTCAAGGAGGAGCTGCGCTGAACAAGAAGTAACGACAAAGTGGAAAACCAGCGGGAAAATAATTTGTGTGGGAGTTAACCACCCCAAGGGGATGATTTTCATGGCAGGAGGCTCCGCAGAGGCAAGAACCAAGAACCAAGAACCAGGTCCAGAACGGATAAAAAGATAAAAACTGGTTAAGGGATATTGAAAGGCGGTAAATTGCTTTATTACTTAAGTGAGCCAGAGATGATTAGGTTCGCTTTTGGCCGCAGTTGCTGCAGTTTGCCCAGCGGCGACTCATTAAAACGGAGTCCCTACACCGGACGAAGGGAAATTGAAAATGGGAAAGAAAAAAAGAGTAATAGAAAGAAAAGAAAGGCTTTGAATGGGTGTAAACAAGAATTAACTTGTAATAATATCGTTAGGCAACCGGATTTGCTGGTTAAAAATTAGTTCAATTCCAAATAGGAAAAAATATCTTGTTTTCTGTATTTCTTCTGGGATTTTTTCTTCAAGCGAAAACACAACATTAATTAGATATTGGTTTTCTTTACTTTATAAAGCATTTACGATTTGGCACGGGTTTTTAATAATGAGATCAGAGGGAAGTCTAAAAATATGTGATATTTTTTTATAAATTAGGTAAACATATTTTATTCTTTAAATTATATTTTTTTGCCAATTACAAAACATATTTTTAAAAATTTTACAGTCCGCAAGAAAAAAAGCCAAGAAAATAGAAATAGGGCCTACAAAATCTCATTCCTCCTCAATTACAATCATCGCGCCCATAACTTAATTTAAAAGAAAGACAAGCAGAGACATTAAATCTTTTCATAATGATATCATACAGTGGTATCACATATAGCGAGGCTCATTTGGACATTAATAAAATTGGATGACGCGCTGACAGCATAAATGTCACCGAAAATGCTATTAAAACTAAATTATAGCCGGCATAACCATGATTCATGAGCTCTAGTGCCCCTCCCTTCGCCTGCTGGTTGCGAAAAAAAATCGTAAAAAATATGAAATGCCAAATTTGTAGCTAGCTTATGGTAAAAAGAAGATTATTAATTCTTAATAAGAGGGCGAGGAATGCAAAGAGGGCACTGAAGAACTGGAAACAAAAACAGAAATTGTATAAAAAATGTGGCCAGTGGGGCGTGTGTCTATGGCTGCCTTGAAAATGTGCCAAAAACGCTGAAAAAAATACAAGAAAAAATGAAAACAAGCCATAGAAAAAATGCTCAGAATCAGTGAATGCCCTGGCTCAAATACCCTTTTTTATGGGAATACCATAGATTTTTTCTTTGACGGGATGGGAGCGAGCACGAAACGAAACCAAACAGAAATAATAAAATTAAAATGCGCCTTTTGCTTTGGCTCGAAGCCTCGAATTCAGTCAGTCGGACACACAAAAAAGTCCGAAGCAATAAAAATAATAATGAAATCAAAGGAATAAAAACAACAGAGACAGTTACAAAAGACCTACAATGGGGCCAGACACGATGGATGGTAAAATTGGAGTCGAAGGACATTGGGAAAATTGCCGTTCGCCTCTCGTTGGGCATCATAATGAGCTTTTCCAACAATTTTCGTTAGCTGAATTAGAAATTATTTCACTGCTGTCTGGTGGCCGCAAAAGGGACTGGTTCTGAATATTTAAAATATATATTTGAAGGTTTAAAGTTACTTTACCAGCTGCCTTTAAAGTTACCCCTAACATTTAAACTTCTTTCGCATTGTAAAAATGATTTATTGAAGCGTTCAAATGCGATGGAACTTCCTGGCAAGCTGGCGACATTTTATTTCCATTGAATGGCATTGCCGGCATGCACTCAATATCACAGGGAGCGTGTTTTTGATATATTGTATTCGAATAACAGGTGGCCTTTCCGGTCTTTAGTTTTGATTTCCCATCTTTTTTATGCGAACTTTTAAAGTATTTTCTCCATTTCATTTAATTTTATTCCCTTAGAACTTTCACATACATTTTTTCAGCATCATTTTAATATCAGGTTTTTGACTTCTGACATCACAGCAAAAAGCAAATACAATATTATGAATGTATGTGTACAATGTAAGTCATAAATCCTTAGTCGTCCCTCACAAACAAGTAGCTATATTTTATTTTACTTTATTTTATTTTAATTTCGCCTTTGCCTTTTCGAAGGCTCAGCCCGAGGCGCTGTCTTTGCCAAGGATTTGCGACAAAACTTTTCGCTTATTCTGCTGTCTGTCTACCCAGACAGCGTGTGTAAATATTTATTCTTGGATTCTTATTCTTCGGGAAGCTGGAGTGCTGGCGTGAGCAAAATGAACAGGAAAATTCGCTAGACAGCAGGAAAATATTTTCATAAAACCAACTTACGTCGTGAGAGTCAATACAATTGAGTTTAAAATGTGCGCATGGAAATCAATTAATTTTTTGTCCCAGTTGCCGCTAATTGAATTTGCCATATCGCTCTATACTCACTATATACACCAGTGAAATAATAAATAAATCCAGTACAATGGAGTTCGGCGACGAGGGAGAGACATTGAAAAATAGAGCGAGACACATGTTCCATATCATGGAATTTGTCCCCGTGCCGTGTAAATGAATTATGTAACATGTCTAGCCATTTAGTGCCATAATTCAAAGCAATCTATGCCACACCAGACAAAACAGTGCCCATCACTGGGGCTCCTCCAATAAAAAAAGGGGGCGTGGCAGCAGGGTTTTATGTGAGAACCTAAATTGCACGCAGTCCAGACAAATTGCATTTGCATAGCGTAATTGGAAAATGTCGCGCACGACACAAAAAAAATATGATTGAAAAACTATAATTTGTATGGCGGCTTATGAAAGCTGGAATAAAAGATATATCTAAATGGGATCGTAACGGAGAAGGATAGTAATTTTACTAATTTTCATTTAATAGTGTAGCTAAAATCAAACGTGAGTCCCTACAAAAATTATGGATTTTCGTTGTGTTATAGAAATTTATCAAAAAATAAAATCAAGCTCGTAAACCTCCAATTATATTTTTAATAATTAGTTTAAATACTTTGATTTAAACATCATTTTGTAAATTCTGTTTGGCTCTCCCCCCAAAAAAAGTCTTCAAAAGTAACTAAAAACCCCCCAAAATTCCATTTAAATTTTCCATTGGTGCGAGTAATAACAGAAGCTCCATCGGAAAAATGCCGGTGGCCGTGCGTCTTGTGGAGACCCTGACCCTGATCACCATAATGGGACTAATCACCTGCATCGGCCTCAGCGTGATCCTGGCCCAAAAAACCCTCAGTATGACCATTACGTTTTTGGAGGTAAGCACTTTTCGGTACCATATGTCTTTTTCCGATTATTTATTCAAAATTACAATAGCCCGCAGCGAATATTGCCAATATGGTTTTAGTTTTGACTGAGAAAGTACTGGTGTCTTCACTGCTCTGCGTTTTGGGTCTCACGAATATTGTGGGAAATGCCCTCCAAGGAGCTGGAATCGCCTGACGATCGGTCTTCTCAGATGCTCCAGTTTGCCCCCACTAACTTTCGGTTTCCTGATCAATGTTCGACTCTGTTGTATGCCCCAAAATTCTCAATATATTATTCGCCTTACGTTTTATTATGCCATTACTGTCCGCCAGTTTTCAGTTTTTGGATGGGGGCTCAAACTCAAACGCAGCACCGCTCACTAATATTCAATCAAACAATTTTACGCCCCAATAAACTTTTCTAACCTGCGGCTGGCCAAACATAAAAGTGCAAAAAACCAAAAATAAAATAAACCAGAACTCAGCTCAATTGCAGCAAATTTGCGCCTGGCCAAAAAGGAATTGGGGAAAGGGGAAGAGCAGCGAGAAAAATAAATATTTTTACCACAAAAGCCAATTTGGCTGCACAAATTTAAACTGCGCTCGAGGATGAATATAATTTTTGGTGCCTTTTTAATACACTTCGGAAGAGGGTCCTTCAATGCAGAGGATAAGTTACCCGATTAAACAATCATATATATATTTTATAATATTTTTTACCGAATGCCTACAGTTTTTATTAAGTCTTTACTAAAAACATACGAAAATTCCATTTCTTCTGGGTGTAAAAATTATAATCACTTTTGCCCATCTAATTTTTTCATAAAAAATCTAGTAGTGCATATATAATTTATTGGATGCCAAAATAGTATTTTGAAAATACTTAGCAAGTATCTTCAAAAAAGTTATATAGTTAAGTTATCGTTTTAAATAAAGAAGGGTATGAAATACTTCGCTTTGACCTCCAAATCTCTTCTTTTTTGTTCACCTTTAGCCGCCTTTAAAGTTTTAGCACCTTTTGCCAGCTGCTTATTCTATTATTTAGTTATTTATCAATGTTCTGACTTCGGTCTGGGTTGGGTTTTCGGTTCAATCCCAATGGGACAGGCACGCACAGCAGACCGAAAGCCCCCAAACCAGACTCGTCTGACATCGAGTGTAGGTGTCTGCGGTTGTTGCTGTTTTTGCATGAGCATTTTTTTGATTTAGTGGCAATTTCGTGTAGCAAAAATTGCAGAGTGCCCCGAGGGTAGACTTGAAAACAAGCAGATTACAGGCGGAAATTGAGGCAAGCGTGAGAGGGAGGAGCTAACAAGCCGAAAACTGGAACAATAAGCTGGCAATGTGTAGTGAAAAAAACACCTCGGAGAAATCGGCATGTAAGTGGTGATCGCCGGGACCAGATCATTCATTATCATATCCACCAGAAGGAGATTCCTGGGGGGAAATCAACTTGGTCCTACGACTGCCCTTGCTCCGAATTATCTGCCTCATAATCGCTAGACAAATGAAAACAGTTGTTCGCACCTCTTAAAAATTCCTCAATGAGTAGATGGCTTATTATTCTTAAAAAAATATATTAAGAGCTATATTTTTTTTATAGTTATAAAAACATTCCAAAATTTTAAACTTGAACTCGTACCACCACAAAATATTTAAGATTCAATGTCATTTGCTCTGTTTTTTTTGATAAGTGGCTAGCACTTATCGCAGTGGGACCAATATGATCACAGAACTTTGGTTATTAATTCCCTTTAATTGTAGCGAAATAAAACAATACTTTAAGATTAAAGATGAAGACTTATGTAATGTACACAGAGGGCACCACTATCACTTTTTGGTTTGCCTCTAGCTGACAGTACAAAATCGCGCTCTGTATCAAGCAGTCGGCTCATTATTCCGAAAAACTAAGCCCATCCGCTGATTAAGATGGGATTAGTCAAAAACACTTTTTGGTGTTCGATTAGCCCAAGTTTGGTGGGGTTACTTATACTTATGTTTTCCCTGACCTTGGCAGACGAACAGAATGTGATGAAGGATTGCAAAAGTGATCTGAGCTGCCATGCGAATCGCATGAAGTCCTTCATGAATGTCAGTGCAGACCCCTGTGACAATTTCCATGAGTACGCCTGCGGTAACCGAGATCAACTGAACCTATTCCGATACTCCCGATGGAACTTTTTGGGCGACTCAGCCTACATATTAGATGACATCGCGAGGGAACTGTTGGACAGGATGGATCTGGCGGAGTCACTCAATGTGTCCAGGGAACTAAGGATTGCCCAGCGATTCTACAACACCTGCCTGGGGGCTGATCTCCATCCGTTCCCTGCTGCGGATCCCAACTATCTAAATCTCATTCGGTCGATCGGAGGCTTTCCCGCCGTGGATGGTGCCGCCTGGAATGCCTCCAACTTCAACTGGGTCAACATGAGTGCCCATCTGTCCAATTACGGGGCAAGGGGTCTCATTCACGAGGAAATATTATCTTCTACTCGCAAAAAACCGTACTTAAGTCTGGCTGAACTGGGATTTGACTACATTGGTCAGGCGGAAAATTCGAAACAAAAGAACTCTACCCGCGTCCGCAAACAAAATCAGAAGATCATGCGCACTTATCTAAGATCTTTTAACCTGACAGGAAATCGAATTTCCCAAGTGATCGACGGTGTTTTTGAATTTTGGCGTGATGTAAAAGTGACAATGGATGGACATTATTTGTATAACTCTGAAAAATTCGATTTTACTAGCTACTTCAAGATAGCATGGAACCTGGACGAGGAGGAAAGGTCGAGCGATAGCGACTTCAAAAAAATGGACGAAGTTTGTGGCCGGCATCCTGAGGCTGTGGCCAATTATCTGGCCATGCAGTTGCTCTACGCCTTCGATGCCAATCTTCAGGATATCAAGTACCAAAAGGATTATTGTGCTGCAACGATGAGATCCTCCATGTGGCCCCTGTTCAAGAAACTCTTTTTGGCAGTAAGTTTGGTAAACGAAAGATAGGATATATGATAAATTAAAATATTTTGTGCTTGCAGGAGAACTTTTCTGAGAAAGAAAGGACGGAAGTGTCAGAAATTGTGCAGGAGGTTCGAAGTAGCTGGCGAATGTTACTAGAGAGAATGGATTTTTTAAACAAGGAGACAAGAAGAGAGGCACTGGGCCGGGAATCCATCTTGGAGACAAACATCCACCCAAACGAATACACCCTACTTACCGATCGATTGGTTCAGGAAATTCTCAACGTGGAAGTAGTCGACGGTAATTTCGCTGTAACCAGTATGAATTTGATGCGTCTCAAGGTTGACATACAGCGATTCAGCACCCGCCACTCTTTAGACCAATCTAGCGGCATTAGAACTCAGGAGGGGGCCTTTCAATTGAATAGTAAACTTACCATCTTTGCCGGCGGCCTTCATCCACCTGCTTACCACCGCTCTTTGCCGGATTCCCTGAAATACGGCACCTTGGGTTACATTATTGGCCAGCTACTCACCAGTTCCCTTGTTGATAGCGATGATTTCGAAATGCTATATTCGTTGCATAAAGAGTGCCTAGCAAAACCCTTTAGTAAGCACCTCAAACCGAAGTATGTTCGCCTGTTTTACTTGTTTATCGGCCACGGCGGATTGAGACAGGCATTTGAGGCCTATCGCAGCCATAGAAAGCAGCTTCTGGAGGATCCTGAACGGAATGTGACCAGCGAGGAGATGCCGGGACTCGACCTCTCACCCGAACAGCTCTTCTTTTTGGGATTCGCTCAGATGTATTGTCCCAGTGATCCCAATTGGGCTCAACAGAAGCACCTGGTTTTGAGTGCCCTCTCCAACAGCCAGGACTTCCACCAGGCCTTCAACTGTCCCGTGGGCAGTAGAATGCGTCCTTCGAAATTCAATTGCTACATTTGGTACTAAATTAAATCTAAGCCTTAAAACACTTTCTGTTCAAAAGAAGAAATGGTTTTTAATAAAGTGAGAAAATTGATTACCTTATCTGAGATTCAGTTTTCAGTTCATATAATATTACACTGTGCTAAAAACATTAAACCATCATTTATTTACCTCGATTGATGGATAATTTCATTCTAAAACAGATTTAATGCCTTGCATGTTTCCAGTTTTAAATTTGGTAACAGAGTTAACGTTAGTTCTTGTTTTAAGCTTGGTTAGCTAAATAACGGGTATCTAATAGTCGAGGGACTCAAACGTTTAAAAATCGAATTATTGTGAAATCAATAAAAAAATTTGCTGTTAACCAATTATGACACGACCTTCCTTAAACCGCTTGAGTTAAAAAACTCCACATATATATAATTCTATTAATAAATAATTATAATTATAATTATACCTATAGGTATCCCACATTCGGCAATACCCCACATTTAATTTAGGCAGCGCTTAACATTTTCTTAGTCTCACGAAAGGCTGGCAGTACAAAATCGCTCTCTGAGCTACACAGTCGGCCCTTCAGTTCGTAGAAAATAAGTGCCTAACATACGCTGATAAGCATGGGACTATTCCAAAGCACTTTTTGGTGCTCGATTAGCCAAAGTTCGATCGGACTATTGGTCTACTTGTTTATAGTGATATTTTCCATGACTATTGGTGATGTACAGGCAGTGATAACTATATGCAAAGGCGATAGCCTAACCTGCCATGCGAATCGCATGAAGTCCTTCATGAACTTGAGTGTGGCACCCTGCGATGACTTCTTCGAGTACGCCTGCGGTAACTTCAGAAAGATAATGCCGGACCCATACTCGCGATGGGAAAACCTGGGCCAAACAGGCTACGTGCTAGATGACATTGCGAAGGATTTGGTGAACAGGATGGATCTGGCGGAGTCACTGAATGTGTCCAGGGAACTGAGAGTGGCTCAACGATTTTACAACGCCTGCCTGGAGGCCGATCTCCATCCGTTTCCTGCCGCCGATCCGCATTACCTAAAACTAATTCGATCGATCGGAGGCTTTCCCGCCGTTGATGGTGCAGCCTGGAATTCTTCCAACTTCAGCTGGTTCAACATGAGCGCCCATCTCACCAATTACGGGGCACAGGGTCTGTACGATGAGATGCTACCAACTTTAAGGGGGGATACAGTGGGCTTGGTTGTGAATGATTTGGGGTTTGATGCCACCGTTAAGTTGGACAACATGAAAAAAAACTCATCCCGGGCCTACAAACGCAACGAGCGGCGCATGCGCGGATACTTAAGATCCTTTAACCTCACAGAGGATAGAATTACAGAAGTGATAGACGGCGTTTTTGCCTTCTGGCGAGAGGCACTAGTGGCGATTAAAAGTGAAGATTGGGACAGCGAATTTGATATTACTAATTACTACAAGATCGCTTGGAATAAGGAGGAGGAGCAATGGTCATATGGTTCCGCTTTTGTGGAATTAGACAAAATTTGTGCCCGACATCCTGAGGCTGTGGCCAATTATCTAGCCATGCAGCTGCTCTACGCATTCGACGCCAATCTGAAGGATGTCAAGGACCAAAGGGATTATTGCACTACCAAGATGAGAACATCCATGTGGCCCCTGTTCAAGAAACTCCATTTGGCGGTAAGTCTAATAAAGAAATAAAGGATAAGATAAGAAATATAAAATTAATTAAATTCTATGCTTGCAGGAGAACTTATCTGAGGAAAAAAGGTTGGGAGTGCTTGAAATTGCGCAGGCAATCTGGAATAACTGGCGAAAGATAGTTGAGGAAGTGGATTGGCTGGACTCGGAAGCGCGAAAGGATGCACTGCTGCAGGTATCCAGGAATCCAGAGTTTCAATTCGGCACACCTGCGGACACCTCTCTTACAGACCAAAAAATCCCGGAGATTCTTCGCCTGGAAGTAGTCGACGATAATTACGCTGCAACCAATATGAATCTGTTCCGACTTAAAGTCGACATAGAGCGATTCCGCACCCGCCACTCTGTGGAAGAAGGTTTCATGATTAGTCAACGTGAGATGATTATGGATTTTCGTGAAAATAATACAAATCATAATTTGATCGCTGCATTCCATGGCAGTTTCCTTGAACCACCTTATTACCACCGTTCATGGCCGCATTCCCTGAAATTCGGCACCTTGGGTTTCGAGGCCGGCCAGTATTTCACCACTGTCGTTACCTAACCTTAACCTTTAAACGGGTTTGTCATTACGATATTTTGTTTTGTTCAAGAGGCACATTTCTTTGTAAAAAAATTCAAAACAAGTTTAACAACAAAAATTAGATGTCAAGAATAAAAGATTTTATGTTATACATGTTAAAAGCTATATTTTTTTTAGATATCAGTTACACTTTCCATTAACTGTTTTACTGCGAAAAGTTATTCAATTATACTTGCAAATAAAATGCTTATCTATTTAACGAGTTCTAAGTTGAAAAACAAAATATTTTGGGGGTCAGCTGTTCGTTCATGTGCTCTGGTTTATAATAATAATACTGTAATCATTTTTTTTGTTTCCGGGTCTCGTATTTATACCCTTTATTGGGAGCAAAATAAAATAATAATTAATGATAAAAGATTTAGACTTATATAAGTTCTGCAGAGCGAAATTGTGGGACATTACATCACATCTGATTAGGTCAAAAATGCAATAATAATTAACCCATTAAGAAATTATTGGGTATCACGCAATCGACCATAGCAAGTTTACTTGAAAGATCCCCCCAGGGCACCACTATCACTTTTTGGTTTGGTTCTAGCTGACAGTACAAGATCGCGCTCTAAGTCAAGCAGTCAGCTCATTATTCCGAAAAAACTAGACCGCTGATTAAGATGGGATCAGTGTGGTGTTCGATTAGTTCGGTCGGATTACTGATTAACTTCCTCTTACTTGTTTTTCCACTGACCTTGGCGGAAGAACCGAAAGTGATAAGGGATTGCAAAAGTGATCTGACTTGCCATGCGGATCGCATGAAGTCCTTCATGAACTTCAGTACAGACCCCTGTGACAATTTTTACGAGTACGCCTGCGGTAACCATAGACAGCACAAACTATACCAATATTCCCGAATGAACTATTTTGGGGACTCAGCCTACATATTAGATGACATGGCGAGGGAACTGTTGGACAGGATGGATCTGGCGGAGTCACTCAATGTGTCCAGGGAACTAAGGATTGCCCAACGATTCTACAACACCTGCCTGGAGGCTGATCTCCATCCGTTCTCTGCTGCCGATCCGAATTACCTAAATCTCATTCGGTCGATCGGAGGCTTTCCAGCCGTGGATGGTGCCGCCTGGAATGCCTCTAATTTCAACTGGGTCAACATGAGTGCCCATCTGTCCAATTACGGGGCAAGGGGTCTCATTCACGAGGAAATATCATCTTCTACTCGCAAAAAACCGTACTTAAGTCTGGCTGAACTGGGGTTTGACTACATTGGTCAGGCGGAAAATTCGAATCAAAAGAACTCTACCCGCGTCCGCAAACAAAATCAGAAGATAATGCGCACTTATCTCAGATCTTTTAACCTGACAGGAAACCGAATTTCCCAAGTGATCGACGGTGTTTTGGAATTCTGGCGTGATGTAGAAGGGACGATCATTGATAAAAATATTTATGACTTATCTGAAAACTTCGATATTAGTAGTTACTTTAAGATAGCTTGGAATCTGGACGAGGGGGAAATGTCTCACAATACCAATTTCGAGAAATTGGACAAGGTGTGTGCCCGACATCCTGAGGCTGTGGCCAATTATCTGGCCATGCAGCTGCTCTACGCCTTCGATGCCAATCTGCAGGATATCAAGTACCAAAAGGATTATTGTGCTGCAACGATGAGATCCTCCATGTGGCCCCTGTTCAAGAAACTCTTTTTGGCAGTAAGTTTGGTAAACGATATATAAGATATAAGACAAATTGAAATGTTCTATGCTTACAGGATACCTTTAGTGATAAAAAAAGCTTGGAACTGTCTGAAATTGTGCAGGAAGTGCGGAGCAGCTGGCGAAAGTTAGTTGAGAAAGTGGATTGGCTGGACTCAGATACCCGACAGAAGGCTCTGCTCGAGGAATCCTCCTTCCCAACACTTATCGGCTCAAGGGAATACACATTACTTACCGATCGATTGGTCCAGGAGATTCTCCATATGGAAGTGACGGACGGTAACTACGCGGCGACCAATATGAATTTGCTTCGTCTCAAGGTTGACATACATCGATTCAGCACCCGCCTCTCTACAGAGCGATCTAGCGACACCAGAACACAGGAGGGGATGTTTTCAATGAATACAAACTTAACCATCTTTCCCGGCAACCTTCATCCACCTGCTTACCACCACTCTTGGCCGCATTCTTTAAAATTCGGTACCTTGGGTTTTTTCATTGGCCAGCAACTAAGCAATATTCTTATATGGCAATGGCAGCATTTGGATCTGGTATTTAAAGATCATAATGAGTGCCTTGCGAATACGTTCAGTAAGCACCTGAAACCAAAGTTTGATCGCCAACTGAGCACACTATTCGACACCGGCGGGTTGAGGCAGGCATTCGAGGCTTATCGCAGCCACAGGAAGCAGATCCTGGAACATCCTGAACAGGAGATGCCCGGACTCGATCTGCTGCCAGAACAGCTCTTCTTTTTGGGTTTCACTCAGATGTCTTGTTACGAGCACAATACCGAATGGGGTCGCCGAAAGAAGTTCAAAGTTCTAAGTGCTCTATCCAACAGCGAGGACTTCATACAGGCCTTCAACTGTCCCGTGGAAAGTGGAATGCGTCCTGCGGGAGAAAACTTGCCACCTGTGGTGATCTGTCCCCATCCGGGATTACACAGATTTGGCTCCCTTACTACACACAAAAAAAAAGCATGTTCCCGTAATATCGATATGGCCCTGTAAATTTCAGTCCATGCCAAACCCATATCGTTTTTACATGAAACACTTTTTTCGACCAGTTCAAATTTACCTGACCGCATATCAAATTAAAATTGATCTTAAATAATGTAAAATCGATCTACGTTCTATATCGCTTTTTTTCGGTGTACAAAATCTAGCGACATTTTTATTTTAATTTTTTTATTCCAGCTTTTTATTGTTTTTAAGCAATTTTTATAATGTTTCATTTTATTATCAAAGTAAAAGTAAAGTAAAAGTTTTTATTAGCGATGGAACATGAATTTTAAATCTTGTTGGCCTCCTGCACTTCGGGATCTGCTTCCGCTGACCCATTGGCTGTGGTGTTCTCCTGTTCCTGTTCTCCCTGCTCGGTGGTGTTAGCCACTTCACCCGGAGCTTCTGGCTGGGCACAGGAGCAGGCATCCCGGGTGTTCTCGGTAATCCACTCGTTGAACTGGCTCACCCGTGTGTAGACACCTGGGGCATTTGGCTTGGCGCATCCCTCGCCCCAGGACACAATGCCCGCCAGCTGATAGGCCTCTCCGGAGCCCAGGACATGCATGGGTCCACCACTGTCGCCCTGGCAGGAGTCCTTGCCACCCTGCTCCACATAGCCGGCGCAAATCATGTTCTCGGTGATCTTCGCCTCCCCGTAGTTGCTCTGCCGGCACTCCTCCTGTGTGAGAATGGGCACCTCCACCTCCTGGAGGGTGTCCGAAATGGGTCCACCCTCACTAAGGGCTCCCCAACCGGTGACCACGGCCGTCTGACCCGCGTAACTCTCGCTGGGAATGGGCAGGCAAACGGGATGCATATCGATGCCCAGACGCACTGGCTCATTGAAGCGAATCAGGGCAATGTCACTGTCAAAGTTCCGGGTGCTGTAGCTCGGGTGGATGAGCACCCTGGCCACGCGGCGATCCACGATCTTCACATGGCTATCCTGACGATTGTGCTCGAGCAGGCGAACGGTGATCAGGCGATGATAGAAGCCATTCACACAATGGGCAGCGGTCAGGGCATACTGATCGTTGACCAAGGAGGCACCACAGTAGAAGTTGCCGAACCACATGAGCATTATCATCCAGGGATACTCGTGCACCTCCGTCTCCTGACCGCCGACAATCCGATGACGGGTATTTATATTACCGCAGGAGCATTCGGCACACTCCCTCTTGGCAGGGGAACTCCATTCGGCTGGAACCTCGGGACCCAGGATCGATTGCACCCAGTCGAGGAAGCCATTCTGCCTCAGCTGAGTCAGGTTGTCCAAAATCTTCTCCGGCTCGGAGGCGGAGGGCGTGGCCCAGGCCAAATCACCCAGCGCTATTGCAGCAATCAGTAGAATACGAAAAGTACACATGGCGAACTAACCTGGCCAACTGGCAGTTGGCAACTAACCCAGTGGATCCTGGCCACATCCAGCAAGAAGAACCAGAACTTCGCAACTCAAAGAACTGGCTAGACCAGAATAACCCAAGGAAACCGGCTCCCCAGAAAGGTTAGCGCACTTTGTGGAAACTTTTCTTTTAATCAATAAATATAAAACAGCTTGAGAATTAGGATCTTCGACCAGGCCGAAGTTGGCATACTCTTGCAAGGGTGGTTAAATAATATTTAAAAGACCTGAAACATATATCCCTAGAAAGTTCAAAGCTATTTTCAGCAAAAATAGTTTGTTTCTTGGGTTATAGGATTAGTGATTTTGGAAATAACAAGCTTTTTCTTTTAAGAAAACTTGTCTTTCAATTGTTTCTATTGAATGTTGGAAATTTTATTTTTAGATGAGAAGAAATAAGAGCAAATTTTATGAAAACGTTTTTGTAATAAATATATTCAAAATACCAAGACCTTGAGAAGTATCACATTGTAGGGGAGATATAAAATTTGCCCTCATTCTCTATAATTCGCCAACCCACCAAGCAAGAGTATTTAACTATTAAAAGATACAGAAATAGCCAGATGGTCGCTACTTGATCTTCTTGGTCTCCTGCTGGCAGAGGCAAGCCTGTTTGGTGAGGTTCTTGATCCAGGTCCCATACCGATTGACTCTGGCATAGACCCCAGGATAACCGGCCTTGGCACAGCCCTCGCCCCACGAAACCACGCCGGCTATCTGATGCTCTCGCGTTCCACTGGCCACAATGTGCAAAGGACCGCCACTGTCTCCCTGGCACGAGTCCTTGCCACCCTCATCGTATCCTCCACACAACATGTTGTCCGTGATCTTGTTGCCATAGCGACTCTTTCGGCACTCATCTTGCGATAGAATGGGCACTTGGACCTCCTGAAAGAGAAAGGAAGGTATTTCAAAAATATATTGAATCATTTAAAAAAAATTAAGTGTTTGTGTAATAAAAACATAGCAGCAAAATGATTTCTGTATTAATAAATTACAAATTTTAAATTACGAATAGCCTTCCTGTTTTCCCTATCTTTGTAAAATATATTTTTTCCTATAAAGTGTTAACCTTTTCCTAAAAATTTTCCTAGAATTTGAGAAATTTAATATTAATTTGAATTAAAAATTTTGCTAAGCTTAGATTATAAATTAGAAAAATTTCTACTAATAAAGAAAATTATTTTTAAATAATATAACCCTGTTTTTTTAATATTTATGAAATGAGCAATAGATAAAAATCATGTTGAATTATTCTCTTTGGTGTACGTAACGACTTAATAAATGTTAATATAATAGGTACATCAAAAAATATTCTCTAAAATTGCGAATAAATATAGGATTTTCTAGTATTAGTACTTCTATTCTTAGATAGAAGAATTATTTCCTTTATCATGATTTTAAGCTTGATTTATAGACTGGTCTTACCTGAAGAGTATCGGAGGTGGGTCCACCAACTTTGAGAGCTCCCCAGCCGGTGACAATGCCATTTTCGCCCTTGAAACTTCTGCCCGGCGTTGGCATGCAAACGGGATGGAGAATCTCGTTGAACTCCACCGGCTCATCCAACTTGATGATGGCTATATCGTTGTCATAGTTCCGGGCATTGTACTTGGGATGCGTGATCACCTCGGCCACCTTGCGATCGATTTTCTGCATGTGCGACATTTTGCGATCGTGTTCGAGTAATCTCACCGAGATTCTCTCCTTTCGGAAGCCATAGACGCAATGCGAGGCGGTCAGGAGGAATTGATCGTTTAGCAGGGAGGCGGCACAATAGAACCTTCCGCCATAGAGCAACATGGCCACCCAGGGATACTGATGCACCTCGGTTTCCTGACCACCAACTATCCTCTTCTGTATATTGGCTATTCCGCAGACACAATCGCTGCAGTTCCTCGGTGGATTCAGAGTGGGTGGTGCCGGGGTGGTGGCCCTTCTGGTGGTTGTTGTGCTCGACGAGGGTGCCGGTGTGGTGGTTGAGGTGGTGGATGAGGCCTCCGGCATCGGAGGGGAACTACTGCTCAACGTGGCCAGGGTGGCATTTTCCGAGTCCGAGCTTCCGGGACGTTGCGGCAAAAGTGAGAGAACCCATTGGATGAAGGTGTTCTGGGATTGTTTCAGCAGGGGATTGGCCGCTTGATTCGCGGACACTCCTTGAATCTGGGCTACTGTTTGATCCTGGGCCTTGGCCTGATTCAGAGTGCCGCCCAAAAGCAGGCAGAACAGCAGCAGACACAACCTGGCTCCTCGACTCATTTCTCTAGACTTTTTCCGGCTTTCTCCACAGCGACACCACCGACTCGCGTGGCTCTCGGCGAACTGATCGGCCAGCCGCTTGGCCAGCATTTGAAAGCGGCATTTCACCCAAAAAAAAAAGAAAAAAGTGGTTCTGGCCGGTGGCACGTCCACTTTGCCAATCCAATCCACACAGCAAGAAACACTGATTTATTTGCACTATGCATATTTGGACGCTATATGAATATTCAAGATTTCTCATGGTATGGAAAATTTTGGTTTCAGAAAGGCTTGAAGACCTACTCTATTTTAAGATCTCTTAGCCAAAAAAATTAGCTAGGATATTTGTCAATGCTTTGAAAAAATGCAATCTATAATTTAAAAAAATTATTTAATTATTTTTTAATTATTTAGGAATAATTCTAATTTATGAATAAAATTTTTTTTTACATATAACTAAATTGTTTATTCACTTTTATTAAATCTGTATTATTTATATCCCTTTCTTTTAGAAACAAATAAGTAAATATTTCAATTTCTTATAAAATTTTCTTACTGTGCAGCCTCGCACTCCCCTTTAATTTGCATTTGTATTCTGCGCATGCGTGGGCGCCTCAGGGCATCCACACTATACATTTCTTGACCATGATACTTCACTCGGTTAGCTAGCAAGCAAAACAAAACAAAATCGGAGCCACTCATCCACAAAAGTAGAGTTTTTGTTGCCTTCTTTTCCGATTTTTTTTGCGCCACTGAAGTAGCGAAAGTTTTTTTCTCGCTTCAATACTTATTGAAATGAGTTTTTTGCTTCATTTCGGTTCAATCGATCGATCGGCGACGCATCGTAATTTTACTTTCTTTTGATTTATATTATTGGGGCTACTTTTCGGCGATTTTGTGGGACGTTGTGGTTTCGTTTGTGTGTCGACAGCTATAACAGCTGACAATAAAAGCAGCAACAATGCCGGTGACAATAATAAATTTGTGGCACTGTTTACATTTACATCGTTTACGTGGTTGGCTTTGCCAATTCGGTCGAGTCATGGGGCCTAAGGGCGTTTTATACAGGGTGATGTTTGGTATAAAAACTATGTTCATTTGGAAATAAGATCTAAAGAGTCAAAATCTGCCAAGTGGGCCACCCCTGTTCCGAAGGTCCGATTTTCATCGAACTTTTTTACTTTTCCGGTTCACAACGAAAATATAAGAACTTCATTTGAACGGTTTTGCGAAATTTTGAGTTTTACCGGAGTTATAGGGGTCAAAACATGGCATTTTTTGACACTTTTGCGAAAAAGTTGCACTCAGTCAAAAATTCATAACTTCGGAACGGTAAGAGATATCTTTATGATGTTTTCACTAATCGCTCAAGAATTATTATGGCTTTCCATAAAAAAATTTAAAAAAAATTAAAAATTTTTTTCTTAAAAATAAATCAACATTTTTTTTAGTTTTTATTTTTTCAGTGTTCTTCACCAGCTATAGAGTTTAAAACCATTTGAAAATGAAGTTTGATTCATTACGAAAAGATCAAAAAAAAAAGAGGGGCCCGGACAAGGTTTTTCGCAATATCGATTTGAAGAAGGGCGCACAGCGGTTTTCCATACAAAAACGGCTTGCTCTTGAAAATTGGCTGGTCAACACATGCCGTTGCGCGCGTAGCGTCAGCCGACTGCAGCTGTCAATGAGGCACTTCTTGTCGTTTTGTATGGAAAACCGCTGTGCGCCCTTCTTCAAATCGATATTGCGAAAAACCTTTGTCCGGGCCCCTCTTTTTTTTTTTTGATCTTTTTCGTAATGAATCAAACTTCATTTTCAAATGGTTTTAAACTCTATAGCTGGTGAAGAACACTGAAAAAATAAAAACTAAAAAAAATGTTGATTTATTTTTAAGAAAAAAATTTTTAATTTTTTTTAAATTTTTTTATGGAAAGCCATAATAATTCTTGAGCGATTAGTGAAAACATCATAAAGATATCTCTTACCGTTCCGAAGTTATGAATTTTTGACTGAGTGCAACTTTTTGAAAAATGATGTCAAAAATGCCATGTTTTGACCCCTATAACTCCGGTAAAACTCAAAATTTCGCAAAACCGTTCAAATGAAGTTCTTATATTTTCGTTGTGAACCGGAAAAGTAAAAAAGTTCGATGAAAATCGGACCTTCGGAACAGGGGTGGCCCACTTGGCAGATTTTGACTCAAAGTAGTTTAGATGTGAATTTGTTCGTAAAAAAATTATTTTATCAAGATGAATTTTTAAAAAGTATGATCAATAATGATTTAAAATTATAAGAAGTTTAAATGTTAATTTAAGTGGAGAAGATTTTTTAATAAAATAGGAAATTATAATAAATTTGATCAATATTAATAAAATATTTTGTTGTTTATTATAGTTCTTTTTAAGATATTACTGCTTCCAATCGTAAAAATATATATATTCATTACAATTAAAGTATAATATTGTCCTAATTATTGAAATATTTTAAAACAGTTTTCAAACAGCGTGTTAAGAAATACTATTTTTAGATTTGGCTGAGCATAATTCACTCGTTTAGCTCCCTCCAAGAAAATAAGCCCAGGCAACTGCAATTGTCATAAAAGCAAAAATGACCTCCCCAAAGACATGAATCTGTCAGCCTGGACTTTCCTTCGCGGGGAGATTAACGATGCAGCCGACTTGTGGCATCCGCACGTGTCCATTGCAGTCGTGAGTCATATTGGTCATGGGCCTAAGTAGCCACATCCCACGGGATCATTAAAAACAACTTGTAAGGCTGCGAAGGCGGCGCCGTTGCGCCTGCGCCATTCGGATGACCGGCAATTGATGGATGGTCGAGGGTCTGCCCTGAAAAATGAAGAGAAAATGGTAAAAACGGAAAAACGGAAGAGGGCTTTCGAGAGTCGGGAGTTGGAAGAGTCATTAGTATGCGCACACATAACACTTGGCATATTAATTGTCCGCGTAATGTTGGAGGCAGATGCAGTTCAAGTGAACTTACATGGAGTTGCAGTTGCGTTTGGATGGGGGATTGCTGATGATGATGATGACGAACTAATGTCAGTTGGTATCTGGGCACTAGAGATGCAAATTTTCATTATTTCGGGAAATATTCAGGCTTAAAAGTCACAGTTAACTGAGCTTTGTCATTTCTTTATTGTTTAAATTAATACTTTCTAAATTAAATAAAATTAAAAATAAAATATTTCCTAATTAATAATATTGCCAAGCAGATAATATTTATTTAACCTTCTCATGTATTTTCCCTATCAACATTGAGAGCTCTAATGTGTTTAGATAATTTGAACTGAAAGACTGAATAAATTTGCACTCTTCCATTAGAACAAAAATATTGTTAAAACATTCCCATTTTCCAGGGGCTTTTAATTGAATTCCTCTCGTGTTTTGTATGTTGATTTTTCACTTTTATTTTAATAGATCGTTAGCATCACTGGTGGGCAGCCATCAAAGGCATAGCCAGATCCATTGCCCAACCGCAGTGCACACAGTTAAAACAAAGTGCCATTTGCATAATGCCCGGCTAGACAAAACCGAATGAAAAATACGGGAAAAAAACGAGCGAACACAAGTTGCATGTGTGAGCGCATCTATATGTTAAATGGGAGTGGGGCTTGGGGTTTGGGGTTATTTACGATCCTGAGGAAGGGACCTGCACTTGGCGACGCAATTATGCAAGGCCCACTCTCCGGTAAAACGTGACCACCAACAGAGTGACTCTGCGACTGATTGCCTGCGCTGAAGAACTGGCCCTGGCAGATTGGCTCTGTTGGACACGATGGCAAAATATGTTAATTGGCATTGTAATATGCACATTAGATGTTGCCAACTACTAAGCGCTCATTAAACAAGCCCAAGCTCATGCTCGGCCAATTACTGCCGGCAGGTACATGGTACATGCCACAAAAAGTCACCCGAGAGGGGTGCCAAGTGATAAATTGAGGGTAGATGAATCGATTATGAAAACCAGATTGCCAGTCCCATGTTTGCTGTATCTCTATAAATTATAATTGGGATAGTTTATGAAAGAAAAGAGTAAATAAAAGGAAATATTTCAAGACTTCTTATGAAAAATAAAAGGAAATATTTCTAGAGTTCTTATGAAAAATATAAGGAAATATTTCTAGATTTCTTATGCAAAAAAATTAAATTTCAAAAAGAATGCAACAACAAAATTTAGAAATTTTAACCTATAATCAAAAGATATATTATTAAATTATAGCCATATCGGATACACCGATTATTTCATAGAAAATCACTATGGACGGCAGTCCATGTAGTGACGAAGCGCACCAGGAGAGTGTGCGAAGGCGACTACTATATATACACGAAGAAATGAAAATCTGCTGTGATGGTCCGATCGTAATGAGTAATACACCAATCGAAAGGTATTGCAAAAACTTAAAGGATTGCATACCAAGACTTTAAGAAAATCAATTGGCTTGGGAGAGAGAGCGGTGAAAGTGAAAAAGTGCAAATTTCGAAATTTGGAGCTGTTGGGGCCGGTGGGGATAAATGCCCCCTCGCAATGTTTTAGTTGTGTTCTTATTGAAAATACCCGTCGAATGAGGGGTCATACGATAAAATCCGACGCTCCGTTCAAAAGTTATAGCCAAAATAAGATTTTCTTCTTCTTCCCAAAATGAAAATTTAATTCTGTTTGTCCACTTGTCCACTTGTCCACTTGTCCAAAATATGTTTTTTAAGTTCTGAAAATTTGATATGACGTTCATCACATCGATATAAAAAACTTTTGTTCTACCACTTTTGGAAAAACTCGCTAGTTTAGCGGGAAAACAGCTATAAATAGCTAAAAATCGGAAAGCCGTAACTTCTATACTACTAAAGCTACAGACTTGTGCTGCATCTCGTTTGAAAGGTATTCTTAAATGCTATAAACGCCTTCTATATGCAATTTGTGTAAATGTAATAGTTAAAAAAATATGAACAAAAGACAATTTTTTAAAACTTTTTTTTTAGCTTTTTTTTATTTTTCTCAAAAACGGCTCTAACGATTTTGGTTAAAACCTTAAACTGTATAGCCCTTGAGATTCCTTAAATTTTGGTATATAACA